CTCTTGCTGGTCCAATTCTGCTTGTAAACTACGAATCTATATCCAAAACCAATGGATCAAAATGATTTAGCGCAAGAAGAATCCATATCCAATAGAAATGCTGCACCAAAGCAGTTCTCCTGTGAGATATATGTGCAAAGCATACCTTCTTATCATATAGATGTTCTATACTCATTTTCTCTTGTTGACCTGAAGATTCCATTTCCTGAAATACACAACGTATCAACAAATATGAASCTMAATCCTAAACTTACTAGTAGGGAACACTAATCACCATCAACCACAACACTTCVTTTTATAACAAGGATGTAAGCCTACCCTGACTTGTTTCTGTCTTTGAAATTCAGATTCTTGTAGGGCCTGCTTGAGTTGAGTGACTTGACTCTCTAAGTCTGCAATGGCGTCATCTGACTGTTGATACAATAGGATAAATAACAGATAAATTCAAAGTGGAAGACCATAAAATGTTTTACATCGACTGCACAGCTGACATTATAAGAATCCTACCCTGGATGATACAGAAGAATGTTCTTTTTTCAGYAATTCTATAGTGGAATCAGTCTTCCGTTGAATTTGTTGAATTGCTTGTTGGTGTTCACTCATTAATTTTGTCTTCTCTCTTTCAAACTTGGTCAAACTAAACAAAACCAAAAGAATTAGACCAATATTCCTGGTTAATCCATCAATAACCAGAGATGGGACAATCATGCATCTGAACCAAATRAMAAAGATTAATTAGCGTTGCGTGATGTATTCTTACGTTGTTTTAGCATCCTTCAGCTCATTTGTCAGYGATAAAACTTTATCAGCAAGTTCTTCCTACAAAAAMGTTTTAGCAATATTRACAAGAATCATCAATTAWCAGGCAAAGTAAGATATTTATTTGCAATTTCAAACAACAACAACATTAAAAACAGAACAAAGCAGTAACCTTTTCCTTGGCTAGTTTTGATCTTGAGTTCTGGACAGCTTCAGACTCTTCAGTCAGCTGATGCACCCTTGCTTCCAGATCTTGCATGACTATAGCCTTAAATATACAACAGTTTTATGATCACTAGATATGYTTATATACAGATATTTTCACATGAACAGAAACTAATTGCACCATACTGTGATTTCATTAATTAAGTCCTGTCTTACTCACCGTACTGGCAGACTGGTTATTATACTCTTCCTCCATCTTCTGCAGTCTCTGATTGGTTTCGTCAAGAAGTTCCTGGATATTATTGGTGTGCTGTTTCTGCATTTCAATCTTTTCTGATTCAAATTCTGCTATCTTGTCACTTAGCTGCATTACAAAAACATAATAGCATTCTCATGTTAATCCAGAGCATCTGTATTGTTATTGAACATTGGTGATACATTGTTTATGATTGGCTGACCTTTTTCTCGTAGTTGTTTAATGCACTCTCTCCAGTCTGCTCGGCAAGTGTCTTCAGTTCTGCAATCTGTTTATCTTTTTGCTCTTTTATTGCACTTGATTCTCTCGCCACTTGGGAGACTGAAAAAATGAATGAAAAATGAAAATGACAAAATTAAAGCCACAAAATAATAAACACTAAGAACAGTTTCCTGATTTTAAAAATATTGAAAACTTAGTTCAAAACATTTCTTTTTTGTTTTAAGGCATCATTCTATTTCCAGGAACACTATTAAAAGTTGATGCTCAGTGAAAATGTACCTTTACGTTCTTGYTTTTTGACAAGACTCTCAAGTTCAGTGATTTTGTTACGATAATGAGATTTGATCTCTTCAAGTTCTGTATTTTTTCGGTCTAAAATCTGAAATATACAATCAAACAAAATTAATATAATAATTACAAATTCTATTTATACAAATGTCATTCAAAATGAAGCTATTCTACATCAGCAACAGAAGTAACAACAACCAATCATCCTAAAGCATTCAGCTAAATCAACCTAGGTGATCAGGCTATGCCAAACAATGACAAACCACAACGACACATCATATGATATTACCTTTTGGACAGCAACATCATGTTGTTGTTGTAGTTTAAGTTTTTCTTCATGAAATTTGGCTTCAGCCATTTTAATCTTCAGCTCAACCTAAATAATAAACACTCATCAATGAAATAATTATATTTGACAAGAAAATATGTMAATTGCATAGAGATCTTACCTCTCTTTCATTGGATTTACTAAAATTCAAATCATCTCTAAAAGTAGTGTTAGCTGTGAAATTAGCACCTTAAAAAGGAAAGTATCAAATATTACAGTGTTCTTGTATCTCTACATTGTGTCTTGGTATAGAAATGCTTACCTCTTGAATATTGTTGATAACCATTCATGGGATAAGGCTTGGGTACCTGTAGTATGCATCATTTGAACATCACATTACTATTACTTGGAACTTTTGGGATAAAATTTTATCTGACTTTTACAATCAATAGGCCTCATTGGCTTGGACAATACTTGTCCTATTTCAGACTAAGGTCACTTAAACTGCAATAAAACAGAGTGGTCTGAAATGGAACAAACAAAGCCAAAGCCAAAAAGCCGTACCGTTGGACTAGTGTGATAATTGACTTCCTGGTGCTGATACTCTCTGTTATATGCTGGTTCTTGTGGTGTAAAATATTCATCCTGATGACTGACTCCGTTACCATAGTGATTGTCTCCATTCACATACTCCAGTGATTCCCTGGGACGATATCCATGGTTACCATAGTCTCGYTCTCTGTTGGAGCCACTGTAAGTTGTAGACCTCCCTACTGGCACAGGATGAGCACCACTAGTTGTTGGTAACTCCCTGGAAYGACCATTATAAAAGTCACTTTACTCAAAGGAAATTTTATGAATTACTTGTCACTATACTTTAATAAAGTTGTAACCCTGTTAAGTCCCACAGTACCCCATAACTATGCAGACCAATACACCACCAGAGAGCAATGGATATATTTAGACCACACAGTAGTCAGCCTCACCCCTCCCCCTATAAAGCAAAAATTACTGTTTCATATGCSCTTACCTACGTATTCTTGGTTGAGGCATTCCTGATGTGTCTGACATGATACTACCAGCTGTCAATCAATGATATTCGTAATGTAAATGACTTTATTTATGACATATCATGGACCAATAATGATAAATGAAACATCAATCTAGAAATCTAACCTGTTGAGCTTCCAAGGTCTCTCACCCAGTCTGGGGGATCCCTTCCATATTCCTACAATTCCAAGGTATCATACTACATGTTATGTTATTTTATACATAGTGTGAGCTATGGATGAATGACAGCYTTCATACATACCTCATCGATAACATGACTTGGACTTCTTTGTTGTATTGGTTCATCTAAATAGATTGACTTCAAAGATAACAATATGATTATTACAAAAAATATAACAGACAACATGCAATTAAAACATAGAAATTTGGTGTGCTGAATTAGACCAATAAACACAGAATTGCTATAATTGATCAATCAAGCAGAAAAGTAAAAACAAGTTGTGAACAAAAAATAGAGATGTTCATTTGATATGTTGTACCATATATGAAGGTAAAGGCTGAAGTGAACCAGCATCTGGCCGTCTTGTGAAAGGGTCTTCCAGTACACCTCTTTTTAACATATGTAATAGCAGCTGAGCATATAAATTTCTGTTCTTCCTGCAGTGATTACAAAATACAGTTAATGACAATATTCCATTTTATAAGGTTGAGAGAGCATACCAACCTTGCTGAGGGGACTGGTCCGGGTGGCTCACAAAGCTTTTTGATCCATAATCCAACTCTTTTTCTCTCTAGAATAATCAGAATTACTGATATAAGATTATTAATCATGATATTATTATCATGACAAGATGTTTTATGACAATGTCCTTGATTATGCATTTGAACAGTAAGTTAAGTAGTTCACTGGATGGCTTACTTCAATATATACCACCCAGGAACAATTTGCTACCCAACATTGCAGGAAGCCAACCACAACTTCAAAGAATGCATAACAGAGACTCAAAAGTTTGTATTAAAACAGAAAGTTTACAATATCTAAAACCACAAAATATGGTATAGCAAAATGTCTGAATTTAATATCAGATATCATAGCAACTAGAAACGACACTTAGTCTAAACATAGCACAGCAGGGCACTAATGAGGTGTAAATAATACACTATAGTGGTGTTATTGCACACAGAGAATAAGCATCTTTGTAAAAACTGAATAATTACTCAAGACTCCCAACCATGAAGTGCAATATAAAAGTACTTCAAGGGTTAGTTAAGAAAAATTATATGCTTTAAAATTACTTATATCCTGAACAGAGGACTTGACCCTTAACTATTTCTTGGGGTAAATGGAATTAAAAATTGATGCAATTTTTTGTGTTGACAAAATGAAAGTCAAAATATAAAGCAAGTATTCTCCGAATAACAATAAAAAGTAGGCATACTCTAAACCTAGAGACCAAGATCCTTTTAACATTTWGCTATACTTGCCTAATTTGTGGGGAAGTCGTAGAACGTAGGGCTTCATATCATCCAAAAAACGGTCTAGTTTCGCGTCCTGTTTCTCGATCAAACTGACCGACTCCTGTGGACTATGATCGTTAAAGCGATGCCCCGCCATTGAATTTTGTTATCGACACAGTTTCTCCAGCAGAAAAGTGTAGTTCTTTGCCAACAATAACATGTAGTTTGAAGTTCTTCTTTCGAGCAATCTTCGGTTGGGATCCGTTGTTTGAAAGTTTCGATTTCATAAACAACCGCCTTTTTGTGCAAAAATGGTATTCATTATATGCACTGTTCATGTAGTAAAAACACCTGCTTCATAGTTGTTAAATAATAAATGAATTTCGTAAAAAACCGCCAACGGTCCACTGCCAAAATTGGAAATATAATTTGTTCGCTCAAGTGGAGGGACGTTCGGAGGTAATCAATACAATGTCCCTAGGGGCTTTCCTCATGAATTCATGGAATCCAGCTATTTGAAAGATATAGAATTTAGTCTATCGGAAATGTATGAAAGCAATCAACTTTTTATGAATTCTCTTAAACGCATTGATTTTTCAGATCTTTTGTAAAACTTATAGCCGAGTTTTTCCAGTAGGTTCGTYGAGCGGCATGACACGGCATGTTGATGAAAATAACGGMCCAATCCCAAGTGCCTTTGCGGTTTTGTATTTCAAAATGGCGGAAGATTCAAACTCACGAGAAAACTTTCGATAATGTTGTTTTGTCAAGTAAAACTTGATAATTCAAATGTAAACTCCTTGGAATGACGCAAATACGAGAGACTATTGAAAATCTCTGCGTTGTACTAAAGTATAATGGCATATCAGAAATTTCAGCTGAGACATTCAGACTTGCCAAGTTTGACAGCCCTGAGGCCACTAGACCGATGTGGAACAGCCTCAAAAACACTCTCATTTGGCTAGAAACTAAGCACTTACATCCTTCATCTGAAGGATTTGCAGCAATTGTCCGTTTTTGCAAGCACGAAATGTTTACTAAGGGGTATAGGGTAAGGTCATTTTTTGTCCTGCCTGAAAATATGTCATATGGCAGCAGAGAGGTTTTGCTGAGCATCGGTTGGCTAATGGCTAAGGAGAATATAATTCAGAAATTCATATATAAAGTACAATCAGCAATTACAGAAGATTTACCCTGCATAGATGATTTACCCTGTGCTGGGATCAAATCACCTGACTTTCCTGAATCACAGAAAACTGCTTCCCAATCCTTGGATGAGCTACTTATCAACACACTCCAAGAAGTAGTTTTATTGAAAGGAAAGCTACATTCAGCAACTAGAAGTCTTTTAGCAGCTAAAAATGAATATGGAATACTTTTAAAGAAGATACACTCTTCAACAAGACCATTTCCTGTGAAGGCAAGCTCATYTCACCTTTCTGCTTTGGATGTCTATCTATTGTGCCACACAAATGAACTTAATAGTTATCAAGATAAGCTTGAGATGGAAAATAGTTATCTTCATAGCTTACTAGTCCTYAAGGAAAAGGAGGATTTATTTTGGAAATGGCTGGAAAGTACTCTAGATCTCCAAAATAAAAACCATTGTGAAAATTCCGATGACAGTGAAGAAGAGGAATGTTTAGCATTGAATCAGGAGAGYTACAGGCCCAGTAARCATACACAAAATRTTAAAACAAAGCAAGTAGAGCTCTCAAAACACTTACAGGAGAAAGAAAAATTGTATCAACAGGCTTCTAGCAAATGGAAAAGATRTCGCGATGTCGTGGAAAAATCCAAAGAAATGCAGGAGCAATTTCAGACTTTACTTGCATGCCTGGACCAAGAGGTTCTTGAGGAATTAGACAAAATTTATAGCATTGAARCAGAAGTCTCTTTAAATATTAATTTTACATTCTCAAKTCTTTCTTCTTCACAAGGAACTCTACAGCTTCTTACTCCACTTACTCCACAGCACAAGAAAAGAAGCAAGGTTTCTTCTGATACTGAGCAATCTGTACTTCTAAAGCATGTCAAAGAGTTGCAAGAAAAGGACAAAGTATTAAAAGAGGAAYTAAGAAAGCTAAAAAATGAAAATTGCAATAAAATAACAATGTTAGCATTGACCATGGATGAAATGGTGTGTATACCACCAAAGTAGATATATCAAGTTAGCTGAAGGAAGAAATTAGGGGTTTTAGGCTGGATTGAAAGTACAATGATAGCTTTATTCTCTAATATAACTCCTTAGAATTCATAACAGTTGGACTTCCTTTGTTGGCAGGAATCAAATGCAGCTTTGAACACATTCAYTGAAACATGCATTTAGATATTCCCTGAAAAACTCTATACAACTGAATTGAAAATGAAACAATTCATATAAGACTTCAGAATATTCACTCACATGTTCCAGACAGATTACCTGGACAAATATTCTGTCTAGACAGTAACAAAACACCAGCCAAAAAGTCATGCAAAATAGTACATCAAAACCAGAATAACCTGGATAGAATTTGACCAGTAGAATATGTTTAGCAAAAGAATACAAAACCAGCCTCTGGAACTAGGGTAGAATATGTTATTTTATAGTGTAGGATCTTGACACTTTTATAAACGAGAAAATATATGTAACTGCACAATATTATCACAATYTATTTGTATGATAAATATCGAACTTGAAGCCATAGTAATTGATATATTTTACATGTAACCAGGATCATTTTACTACACATACATGGCAAAGGCCATCCAACTGCGCACTCTTTATATTAGAAGGATAAACTGAATTTCAAAGCTCCCAGAACCAAGTCAGAGACTACTTGCCAGAAAACGATTGATCATATTTTCTTAATAATCAAAACTGCTACAAATAAGTTACGAGTAAAAATAAGATMGTGGTGATCTAGCCCCATGTTGGGTGCATACAACCCTGTTAAAAATATTCYACTTWGGGGAACGCGATTTCGAAATTMAACCCAAACAATTTCGAAAGATCGTCGTATGTTGCAACCACACATGAACACAACGCTTCTTACACGTGATCACTTTACATAAAACCATGAAAGAGCACGTGAACATCCATGTAYCAATTGTTCTTTTCTCAAGCGCTGATTGGTTATCATCTCATGGTGTGCGATCGGTGTGTCTGGAGGTGTGTCCTTTGTTGTTGAATATGGTATTTAATTACTGTATCTTAACGATTTCAACATTCAACCCTGAATAAAACGCCTAGAAGGTTTGCAAAGCTCTGCAAGCCAAGAAAAGAARCAAGAAATCACGTTTTACAAAAAGGTATTTCTCACTTGTCAATAATGTCTTCTTTTGAAATGTATATGTCGCAGAGTACATGGTTGGGGGTTTTCTCGGAGTGTCAAGATAGCTCGTGTCAAGATAGCTCGTGTTAGATACCTCGTGTACCGGGTGGTTATATATGGTTGATATATTTTCAATGCCGAGTTTTTTCGACCTTTTGACTTAGTGAGTATTGACRTAACAGTTCTAAAACTTTGTTTTTCTATATTTTATTATATTATTTCAAAATATTTGTGATATGAAATCTACATGGATATTGTGAAATCTACGCAAAACGTAGAGGTAATCGGGTGATTTGCATAGAGACCAACTCAAAAACTCATCTAAAAACCATCGCATTCGTTTCAAAAACACATAAACAACTTTTAATTTTTTTCACTTTTTTCATCAAGCGAATATTTCTCCAGTTGAATTTTACACTTTTGCAAAACTTTTAATTAATATTTCTAGTAAACAGAACTAGTTTTTCCAGAGATGTTGTACAGTTTTGTACATCCCTAGCTGTCATGTCGATTTCGTCACGAGTTTCATTACGTAACGCAACTAGTAATCTGATTGGCTAATCGGTGTTTGATAACCACTGCTGATGCATTGTAATCAGGTGATATTCCATGTGTTGGGATCATGAAAAAAAGTTTAAAAAACCTACACTTACCACTTGCRTAAATGATTAAAAATGACTGAATTACACTGATCATTCGATTCACCATAATGGGTTCGCTTTAAAAACGGTCAACATGAATGATGAATAGGTGCTTAAAAACAGCCTGATTGACAACTCTCTCAGCAGTATTTACAAATGACGTCAATGGGACTATATTATTTCCGTACGAAAACGATACTTTTATATTTCATTGCTGTGCCCGTGCAAGATAACTCATAGCTCGTGTGCTTTGTAATTTGCTCCAATTCTTGTCATCCAAGGCATTTCTAAGAAAAGAAAGCAACCAACTACAGACCAATTTAACGTAATTGTTTGCACAAAGAATTCTAGAAGATAGCTGGATTCTACTGATTTGCAACTTGAGCAACTCTGCATTGATTGATTGCGTAKTGGCAAAACAAGGGATTTTTACGATCCTTCTAGTGTCTACTGCAAATTTATCAATTCATTTTGGCAAACATGAAGAAGCGACGACGCTGTAGTAGTGGCGCAAGTCGGACTGGTCTTGTTAACGACCCTCCACGAACAAAGAAGTTCCTTGCAGATGTCCTTCTTGTGTGTGAATTACTTCTTTTTATAACATTAGCTACCCTTCAAGGGAAAAAAGGCCAAGCCCCATTACAAGACAGACAAGATTCAAGACCTAGAGCTGTACGTAGAGTCATGCATATTTCAGTGCGTTCGGATTCATGTTGTTTGCGGTGTCTAAATTTAGTAACGTTTTACCAAAAACAAACTCGATTATAATCTGTCTTTCTTGATTGGAATCGTTTTAAATCATATGCACTTGCGCAAATCATTTAAGGTGTTCGGTGGTTTTATGAGAATTTTTTAATGCAAATAGTAATTTGTTTATTTACTGTTTGTAACTTTCGTGCGTCGGCTCTGTATATAGTACTACTTCCATGTCACCCGTGAATATACTTCAACACGCCACTCAGAATATTCTAAACTCTAATCTAGGTTTTCAGTTAATGTATCTTGAGATCAAGTTAGGAATTTAAAACAGTGTACACACAGGGATTAAGCATATGTCAAGCTCTTTTGTCCATTACTAATGACTTTTCATAAAGCACAAGTTGTTTTCGTTGCTGTTTAACAGTACAGTATGCATTAACCATAGCAATCAAGATGTGCAGTGAAAAATCTCCGTTTATCTCATTAATGGCAGGACATAATGGCGCACGGATAACGGCAATGCGTCACTGAAAAGTATTACCGCAATGATTATATATCCTTTCTCTTGGGCTGAAAGCCAAAAATAACACYGAGTTGAACAAAAACAAAAGTTTTTTGTCTCGGTTAACCTTAATCACCTTCAACTGTGGGAAGCTTTTTGTCGGCTTAATATGCGGCACACATTGTTTTTTTGCTTATAAAAAGGTCTATATTGTAATGTTAATTTTTCATTGGGCGACAGAATTAATGAAAACGTGAAAGCTTATTTTTAATCCTGTAAAACCGTCAAGAACAGTGTTTTTGATCAAATTGCATGTTTATAATACTTAGTACAGATAAGTGGGTTAGATAATGATGACCGGAGTTGTGTGGCTAGGTTGTTGCCCTAGGCAATGAAAATACATTTAGTGCTACAATTACACCAATCAAAAYCATAATAGTATTAGCCAATGAAAGCTGCCATTCTATTATCAGCCAATTCCAAACCTTCCTGTTAATAGCCAATCAATAAGTCTGTATTATATTCTAGCAGTAGTCAGTATTTCTAGCAAATCTGACACATGAATTAACTGTCAAAATAATAATCAATTTTCTTATTTGTTTTTATGCCCAAATAATCTAAACACTCCATTCATTTCCTGATTTTTGATGTGCTTYTTTCAGAGTACAACTAGCACAAGTAGCACAGCAAGCAGATAACATATCCATTTACAGCCATGGTCCAGGAAAGTCCAGAAGATATTGTGATTACAGGTCTGGCCTGTAGATTACCAGAGTCTGATAATGCTGAAGAGTTCTGGTCTCACTTAGTTAATCAAGAAGATATGGTCACAGAGGATGACCGCCGATGGAAACCTGGACTGCATGGCTTGCCAAAAAGAAATGGCAAACTTAAAGACTTGAAACATTTTGATGCATCATTCTTTGGTGTTCATGCTAAACAAGCCCATAAAATGGACCCTCAATTACGTCTACTATTAGAAATTACTTATGAATCCCTTATTGATGCTGGTATTGATCCACAAAGTGTACGTAACTCAAGAACTGGTGTCTTTATTGGTACCAGTGCCTCAGAAGCTGCTGAAGCATTCAGCTCAAATACTGAGGAAATAGTTGGTTATGGAATGACTGGTTGCTGTCGTGCCATGTTTGCCAATCGTGTATCATTTGCCTTTGACTTCAAAGGTCCCAGTTTTGCCATTGATACAGCATGTTCGTCTTCTCTTCTCGCTYTGGATTGTGCTGTCCAAGCAATCCRTTCAGGAGCCTGTGATGCAGCTGTTGTTGGTGGAGTTAGTCTGTGCTTGAAGCCTAACACTTCTCTTGACTTTMTGCGCCTTAACATGTTGTCACCTGATGGTGCTTGTAAATCATTTGATGAGAGTGGTAATGGGTACTGCAGATCAGAAGGTGCTGTAGCTATCTACCTAGTCAAGAGACCTGCTGCCAAGAGAATTTATGCACATGTTGTGAACTCCAAAAATAATTCTGATGGTTACAAAAATCAAGGTAARACTCGTTAATAACAAGCATCACATATATCAGACAGATTTTGTTTCATTTCTTCACACTCTAACTGCAAGTTTCAAGTTTTAATGCTGTGATTGTACATTCAGGTGTAACCTACCCCAGTGGTGCAGTTCAGAAAGAACTTCTTCAACAAGTTTATTCAGAAGCCAAAGTGAACCCAGGTGATGTTTCATACATAGAGGCTCATGGTACAGGAACCAAAGCTGGTGACCCAGAAGAAGCCAATGCCATAACTGATGTGTTTTGCACCTCAAGGACACCTGAAAACCCACTGTTGATTGGCTCTGTAAAGTCCAATATGGGACATCCTGAACCTGCTTCAGGCCTTGCTGGAGTTACTAAGGTTCTCTTAGCCATGCAGCACGGTATGCTTCCTGGAAACCTTCATTACAAGAAACCAAATCCTGACATCCCTGCTCTAATTGATGGCAGGCTCAAGGTATTACACGTTATAAATGGTTAATGAATATATCACTGAATGAATAYATTGATTGATATMTCTTATTAGTCACTTGAATGACAGCTGAATGTATAAATGTCTTTCTTAGGTTGTCACTGAAGCTACTGAGTGGAATGGAGGTCTTGTTGGAATCAATTCATTTGGTTTTGGTGGCTCCAATGTCCATGTTATTCTGAGATCCCCCAGCTTTGCGGAAAACAACCATATAGAAGAACCCAGCAGAGTTTGTGTTCCCTTATCAGGYCGCACAGAAGAAGCTATTGACAGCCTTGCCAAATTAGCCAAGGAAAATAGCAACAATGATGGCTTGTTATCCCTTCTGGCTGATATATCTGCCACACCCACCAATACCTTTCARTACCGTGGATATGCTGTTGTTGGTGGTGAAAACACTGTCAAGGAAACCAAAAAAGTYAAGACTGGATATCGCCCAATATGGTTTGTTTGTTCTGGAATGGGTACCCAGTGGAATGGAATGGGTAAAAGCCTAATGAACATTCCTCAATTCAAACAGTCTGTTGTAAAGTCTTCAAAGATTCTGAAAGAATATGGACTTGATGTTGAGAAGTTAATCCTGGATAGCAATGAGGATACTTACAAGAACACCATCAACTCGTTTGTTGGCCTAGCTACAATCCAAGTCGCTTTGATAGACTGTCTTAAGTCTTTAGGTAGGTAAAAATCATGACAAAGTTCCTTTCATAAATGAAAAGTCATTTGACAACTTGGTTTGGACAATTCATATTTGTTTGTTTGGGCTCAATCATCTGTTTCAAGACTCATCTAACTCATCAATCATGGTTTATTCCTATCACAGGTATTGAGCCCGATGGTATTATTGGTCATAGTGTTGGAGAACTTGGCTGTGCATATGCTGATGGCAGTTTCACTGCAGAAGAGGTAGTCAAGGCTGCTTACTGGAGAGGTAATAACTTGCTAATCAATATTGTTTTCTTTGTTACCTTTCCTTATATCNCAACTTCTTCTCAATTATTTTAAGACCCTGAGTGTTGGTCCGGCCGGGGTTTGAACCTGCGACCTCCCGCACTAAAGTCCGATGCTCTACCTACTGAGCTAACCGGTGGGCGGTCAAATGACAAAGTTCCTTTCATAAATGAAAAGTCATTTGACAACTTGGTTTGGACAATTCATATTTGTTTGTTTGGGCTCAATCATCTGTTTCAAGACTCATCTAACTCATCAATCATGGTTTATTCCTATCACAGGTATTGAGCCCGATGGTATTATTGGTCATAGTGTTGGAGAACTTGGCTGTGCATATGCTGATGGCAGTTTCACTGCAGAAGAGGTAGTCAAGGCTGCTTACTGGAGAGGTAATAACTTGCTAATCAATATTGTTTTCTTTGTTACCTTTCCTTATATCAGACGAAAGGGATATATCATCATTTATTGTATACCAATTATGATATATTAATTATTATTATTTATTGTGTATAGGTCGTTGTGTATCTGAAGCTAACCTTCCACCAGGAGCCATGGCTGCAGTTGGTCTTACCTGGGAAGAAGCCAAGAAACGTTGTCCTCCTGGAGTACTTCCAGCTTGTCATAATGCTGAGGATACAGTAACCATTTCTGGTGAAGCAAACATACTTGAAAAGTTTGTCAAGGAACTAAAAGAAGAAGGAACCTTTGCCAAAGCTGTCAACACGTCTGGTGTGGCTTTCCACTCTCACTACATGGCCGCCATTGCCCCTCAGCTGAAAGAGTCTTTAGTKAAATTTATTGTTCCAAAGAAGAGATCCTCGAGATGGCTCAGTACATCAATTCCTGAAGAGAAATGGAGCAGTGAGCTTGCCCAGTACTCATCAGCTGACTACCATGTGAATAACCTGGTCAGTCCAGTACTTTTCCAGGAAGCACTMAAAAAAATCCCTGAAAACTCGATTGTCATCGAGGTTGCTCCTCACTGCTTGCTGCAAGCTGTCCTCAAAAGATCTCTGAACATGGAAACTGCTTGTATTCCCCTAATGAAAAGAAACCATCCTGACAACCTGGAGTTTTTCCTATCCAATCTTGGAAAAATTTATATGGAAGGCAGGAATATMGATACGACTGCATTGACCTGTGAGAAGATAATGCCAGTAAACTTGAGTACTCCATCAATCGCCCCGTAYATGAAATGGGATCATTCACAAGAATGGGATGTACCATCATCTGATCAGTTCCTATCCAGTGGTGGYAGTGGCTCCATGAATACATCACAGTTTGTAATTGATATGTCATCCAATGACAAGTACCTTGAAGGACATTGTATTGATGGGAGAGTGCTCTTCCCTGCTACAGGCTACYTAGTCCTAGCATGGAGGGCATTAGCCAAGAGTACAGGACTTCTCCCAGAGCATATGCCTGTAGCCTTTGAAGACGTGCACATACACCGTGCTACCATCCTGCCCAAAACTGGAACTGTCACACTAACAGTTCACTTGATGCCTGCATCCAACAAATTTGATGTGTCAGAGGGTGACAGTCTGTCTGTCACAGGAAAAATTTATATTCCTGATCTACCAGTTCTGAGTACAAACTTCATGGAAGCACCTCACATTGAAGAAGAGGTCCACTTGACATCTGAATGTATCTACAAAGAACTGAGACTCCGAGGATACGACTATGGACCAACATTCCAGGGAATAAAAGGCGCAAATAGCACAGGTAATGTTATTATTACATAAGAACTTGTTTGACGATATTTTGGATGTGGCATTCTCAAGTTTCGTGAGAGCATGGCTTTGTTTATCTTACTCACTAGTGCTGTTCATCTTAGGTACTAATGGTGAACTTACTTGGAACGATAACTGGACATCATTCCTGGACACCATGCTTCAAGTGTCAGTTCTCAGACTTCCGGGTCGTGGTCTTCGTCTTCCAACACGTATTCGTTCTTTGAGGATTGATCCTTCGATTCATTTGGATATGGTGAAGGATGGTGTGTGCGAAGTGAAAGTCGACCCACGAATGGACATGGTAGTAGCTGGCGGAGTCGAAATGTCTGGTAAGATAACTCTGCAGTCCTTTACTTKAGATCTTGTAGAATAGTTGAAACACATAGTGTCCTTAATGAGAATTAATTGATTTACAAATTAATTGGAATTTAATTAATGTATACCATTCCATTTGGTTCTGTAGGTCTTCATGCATCTGTTGCTCCCAAAAGACAAGATGGTCAGACAGCTGTTCTCGAGAAATTCACCTTCACACCTTATATGGATAATGAGGAAACAGTGAAGCAAGAAGGGCTGGAGTTTCACGATATTCTTAGTCACGGTCCATTGCTGAAGGTCATGCTTGACATTGTTATCGAAAATACTCGCTCAACCAAGCTTAACGTGTGTGAGATATCATCAGTAGAGAATCAAGTATACTCTCGTGTTGTCCCACTCGTCAACCTTCATCCATTGATGCATCTTGACTATAAAGCAACCGATAAGAGCCAGGAGCTGCTGTCTAAAATTGAGGAGTCTGCAGCAGAGAAAGGTGTTGATGTCTTGACCTGGAACCCTTTGAAGACACCAAGTGGGATTGGGAAAKTGGACCTTGTCATCGCTASCAACTTATTACAGTTCGCTGAAAACATCCCTCTAGTGTTAAAACATATTAAGTCAATACTATCAGCACAGGGTTTCCTTCTCTTACACGAAATGTCGTCCGAATCAAAACTGGTACTGACACCAATAATGGAGRAAGCAGGTTTTGGAATAGCATCATTCAAATGTACAGTCGGTGGAACAAGCCTTGCTCTATGTAGGTTATACAAAGACAACATTGAAGACACTCCATCAGTGCTTGACATMGATGATTCATTTACATGGGTACCAGACCTACAGAGCCACTTGAATAAAGGAGATGGGTCAACTGTATGGCTACGAGCACGCAAAGATCTGAATTCYGGGATCGTCGGGATGACCAACTGTCTGCGACAAGAACCTTGTGGTGATAGAATYCGCTGCCTCTTTGATGCTTCAAGTGGAGGGAAAAAGCTAGTTGAGGATTTCGAGTCGATCCGCAAGCTTGATTTAGTGATGAATGTTTACAAGAATGGTGGTTTTGGTAGCTATCGCCACGTGCCCAGTGAAGAATCCCTTAACCACGAGACGGAGCATGCGTACGTTAATGTTCTTACTCGAGGTGATTTGTCGTCTCTTCGTTGGATTGCTTCCCATATGAAGTACGCCCCTGGTAAAGATGGAAATACTGAACTTTGCTCGGTCCACTATGCCTCCTTGAACTTTCGTGACATCATGTTAGCAACTGGAAAGCTGCCACCAGATGCCCTTCCTGGCGACCTGGCACAGCAAGACTGTATTCTTGGAATGGAATTCTCTGGTCGAAACCATAGTGGGAAGCGTATCATGGGGCTTCTTCCTGCACAAGCACTGGCTACCACCGTGCTGGCCGATCAGAGGTTTACCTGGGAGGTTCCTGATAACTGGAGCCTTTTAGAAGCAGCTACTGTACCTGTTGTATATTCAACTGCCTACTATGCACTGATTGTTCGTGGTAATCTGCGTCCAGGACAATCTGTTCTTATTCATTCTGGTTCTGGTGGTGTAGGACAAGCAGCCATTTCTATCTGTCTTAACATGGGCTGTGAAGTTTACACGACAGTAGGTTCCAAGGAAAAGAGAGAATATCTGCTGGCTACATTTAGTCAGCTGAAAACCGAGAACATAGGGAACTCACGTGATCTGTCGTTTGAAACCATGGTAAGTGTTTTAAYGAGTGGGTGGTGATTRAATGAACGAATGGTAGGAAAAAAATAACGCTTGCCATCTGAATGGGGGATAACATAGCGAACAATGTACAATATATCTGCGAGCAAATGAATGGATTTAAAAACATATGAAAATAAAAGTAAGGCAGTGTTACGACAAAAATAGAACCGACTGTCAAGAAAAGAAATGCCGTTATCTCAATCAATTTGTTTCTATTCAAGGTTATGCATGGCACCAGCGGTCGSGGTGTAGATCTGGTACTAAACTCCCTTGCAGAAGAAAAGCTTCAGGCAAGTCTAAGGTGTTTGGCCAGACATGGACGCTTCCTGGAAATAGGCAAATACGATCTGTCCAACAATACACCTCTTGGTATGGCACTTTTCTTGAAGAACGTCTCGTTTCATGGAATACTTTTGGACGCCATCTTTGAAGAGGACAATCCAGAATGGAAGCAAGTCTCAGATCTTGTTACYGCTGGCATTTCATCAGGTATTTGTTACAGGATTATAACCATCATCATGATCATCACTATCATTATGAATATTTACATTATTTCATCTTGGTCATCCTACCATGTTATCGTTTCCATCACCATATTTTTTATGGACTTATAGGTGCAGTACGTCCTCTCAAGACGTCTCTCTTCGATCGAGATGAAATCGAGCCAGCATTTCGATTCATGGCTCAAGGAAAACACATTGGTAAAGTTGTCATTCAAGTCAAACCAGAGCACGAGTCTAGTTCTGTCGTCAAACTTTTCGCRCATGCTCGTAGCATGTGCGATCCCAAGAAGAGTTACGTCATTACTGGAGGACTGGGAGGCTTTGGGCTTGAGCTCGCGCACTGGTTGGTGGAACGAGGTGCAMGAAACTTGGTTCTTACAAGCAGAAGAGGTAAGAAGACCGTCGGAAAATCGAAGCGATGCATTACTTTGTAGTAGCCGCGTGACCAATGTCTTAGTGTATGTTGTGTGACTTGTTTAATTTGTTTGTTCAGGTATTCGTACTGGCTACCAAGCCCGTAGGGTCAGAGTATGGCGTCAGCAAGGTGTACAAGTCACGATCTCCACTAACGATGTCGGTACAGAGGAAGGTGCTCGAGCCATTATCAAAGAAGCCCAAGGACTTGGTAGACTGGGTGGAGTGTTTCATCTTGCAGTGGTGTTACGAGACAGTCTCTTCGACAACCAGACACCATCTACTTTCCAAGAAGTGTGCAAACCAAAGTACAATGGTACCATCTTCCTAGACAGACTCTCACGGCAAGAAGAAATTTCTAAAGATTTACACTGGTTTGTTGTGTTCTCGTCGGTGTCTAGTGGTCGCGGTAATGCTGGTCAGTCAAACTACGGTTTTGCTAATTCTGCCATGGAACGTATCTGTGAGCAACGAGTAAATGATGGTCTTCCTGGTCTGGCCATCCAGTGGGGTGCTATTGGTGATGTTGGTTTGATTCAGGTACGTATACAATGTATTTATCTTTGTACATAATTGTTATTAACCCTGATGCTATTCCCTATATTTTACGTTGGTAGAAAAGTAACCGATRAACTTGTATCACTGGCATGATGTCCGACGTATGATGTCACACTTACTTATAAAGCTAACTGTGAAATCATTTGCTTTCTAGGAAACCATGGGAGGGTCTAATGAAACCGTCATTGGAGGAACACTTCCACAGCGCATGAGCAACTGTTTGTCAGTACTGGACAAGTTTTTATCGCAGGCTCACCCAGTGATGTCAAGCTTCGTACTGGCTGCTAAACACTCTAGCAAGGGTGAAAAAAGTTCAGGCAGTGATCTCGTTGGTGCAGTGGCTCGCATCCTTGGAGTTAGCGATGTTGAAACCATTAATCCAGATACAACCTTAGCAGACCTCGGTAAGTCAGTTATAACATCCTTAACTGATCCGATCCTTGCTGTACAGTGTACGAGGGTCTGACAATACTTAAGCACATATTTGTTGATTGATTGTTGCTGATTTGTTTCCTTCTCAGGTTTGGATTCATTAATGGGTGTCGAGGTAAGACAAACCCTTGAACGAGACTACGACATTCAGCTCGAAATGAAAGAAGTTCGTCTTCTTACCATCAACTCSCTACGTGACTTATCCAAGAAAGACAACGAGCCAATAGAAGCCAAGCAAGATAAGATAGATACCGTAATTGGTAACCAAGTCATTCCTCAATTTAACGACGAGACACTGATTCAACTCAACTCTGTCAACAATGGTCAAAAGCCGTTGTTCGTGGTTCATAATATCAATGGATCCCTTGACCCTTTGAAGTCATTAGCAAAGGCTTTGACCTGTCCTGTCATTGGTCTACAGTATACAAAGCATGCACCACGTGACTCGATCCAGTCTCTTGCGACATTCTATATAAAAAAGATCCGGGAAATGSTCCCACATGGTCCATATCGGCTGGCAGGATACTCCTTTGGAGCATGCGTCGTCTTAGAGATGTCAATTCACCTTGAGAAGACTAAAGAGATGGAGAGTCTTGTTTTGATGGACGGCTCACAGCAGTACGTAGCGGCTCACACCATGTGGCATAGAAAGAGACTGACAGTCGAAGAGGATTCATGGAAACCCGAGGCTGTGGCCGAGGCCCTTTGTATCCTGGCCGGTCACTACGCGAAAATCGACAAAATCAWGTTGATGCAATCTATCCAGTCATTGTCATCTATTGAAAACCAGTTAAACGTAACAGTAGACGCCATAGTCCAAGCCAACACAGCCATTAACAGACAGGACCTTTTAGTCTACTTGACCTTCTTCTTGGATCTACTGCGCATGGGCGAACAGTATAAACCCAACGCAATGTATCATGGGAATATTAATCTTATCCGCGCCAAAACGACMGATGAAATGGGRAAATCTCTAGGGGACGATTTTGGAGTAGGAAAAATATGTACAGGGAACGTGGCAGTCAAGTGGGTTGAAGGTGATCACGTCAGTTTTCTCCAAGGAAACGGCGCCGTTGAGGTAGCAAACATGATCATGGCTGCACAATCATAAGTGAACAATAACGTGATACATCACGCGAACAGTTTCATAAAAACAGCACTTGTCAATCACTGTGGCAAGATTGAATACAAGTTATAACGTGCATACGGATGTAAATGTAAATATGAACACAAATTAACAAAGGGAGGATTTAAAATTTTAATTATCAACAAGAAGTCTTCATAAATTCCAAAAAAAGGAAATAAAATTACCAATTGGTATGTAATATATATATGAAATGTTTAGATGATAAAACAGATGTTTTCTGTACATGCCTGGGTTATTTGTCTTTTTTTCCCTTATCCATCATGTTCATTGTTTCTTTATTCTACTTGTCCGTCCTACAGCTAATCACTTTTTTTTTGTACATTGCTTTGTATGTTTATATCTCATCTCATCAAAAATCCTTATAACATTTGCTAGCAAATGGTCGTTCAGATTCTTGGCAAGCAGCAGGTCTTGTACCCATGTAGTTATCACAAACAAGTTTTAATAGATTTGAAGWAGCTTCGTCTTGTATTCTATTAGTATGTTTGCCATTCATGGTAATCCAKGGCACATATTGATGRGGTGGTTCCAGGGCATTTGTCTTCAGGGCCATTTCATGTTCCAACTTGTTYCCTTGCGGTCCACTTGCACACTTTTCAATGGGTGCATAATCAATACCAAGTTGGGAGGCACATTGTTCTGCTGTACTTTCAGGCTTGTGTCCAATAGAGGTCTCGACACAGTGGATGAATGGAAAATACGAGGATGTATTAACAAGAAGTGATATCGCACAGGTTTCGATCAGATTTCCWACACATTCAGCTGGACCATGTTGACAATTAAATTTCCACTCCTCACCGTCTTTAGATTCCTCAGCATTKCCATACGGTACTAGCATGATGTCCATGATCTTCCCAACCTTTCGGTACGTAGGATAAAGTTGAGWCTTGATAAAAGCTCTGCATCCTGGACAAAGACTCTCGTAATAAAGAGCAATTGATACTGGACTAGCGGTTGGAGTTGATGTAACGACTGCAGAAAATGCCAGCAAAGCACTAAGAATAGCTAAGAAACCCATTGCTGACCGACTCATGCACGTCTAGATCTTACATAATAGGCTTCTAGTCGATCTCGTGATAGTCTTGTGACACAGTAACGTCACTCAATATCATTRTGACAGCTCATGCTGATCTCGTGATTTTGCGCAGTCGTGTGTGTCATTCGTACTTTTATCGTAAGCTAATCGGTGAAAATCGTATCTCTCCGGCGTATATATATATTACTTGATGGAAATACAGTAGTTTGTCTATATACAGTCTTATATCTGCTGGATTTCAGTCGGTTAGTGACGTCAATTTATACATTGAATAATATAAAAAATATACTGAGTGAGACAGCGTATGATATGACGAATTATTGATTGAGGCTGAGTATGATGGAATATGAAGGAGGATGGCTGTTATTCGACGACATATGGATACATATACGCGCACAAAGAATGCAGATCAGTAGACACAGAAAACATAAATCTTCTCATCTGTTATCGATGATGCATTTTAAAGATTCTTAATTAAAGACTTTACAGGGTACGCAGGGGTGCGTATGTCAGAACCATCATTTTGACTGGATACTAATGTCAAGTTTGCCCATAGCACTTTAGTTTTCCCAGGGTGTGGTAACCTTGTTCATGGCTTTGATCAGTATCACTGAACCTCATCTGAGTCACGGGTAGAGTGGACTTGTCAGTCAGCAGACCGCTGTCAGAAAACGATCCTTTACCTGAACTTCCAACATTGTTACAATTACATCCTTTTGAATTTTCGCAAGTGTTGGTCATACCACAGGCACATTTACCACTTCCTGGTGTTGCCCCGCCCCAGTACTCCTGACGTACACCATCACGTGACACCCACCAAGCGTCRCCATCWGCCACAAACGAAACGTCATCTTTGCATTCAAATTTGATAAACTGCTCGCAGTGGGCGGATATTTGCGTCAGTTTTGCCAGCTGTGCCATTGTAACAYTGTAGACGACATTTCGAATGCAATTMWTACAGTTGTYAACAAGAGTCCTGGCCTCWCTATCATGACTGACAACAGTAACACCTACCCCTCCCTTGTCAGTCATATCACAGTGTACAGTAAATGGCTTCTGCTCTGATTGGCCATCGGGATCAATGACGTAGTTACCCGATGGTTTTGTGGGGAACATCGTCTTTAACTCGCTGCAAGACTTTGGTACTATAAGAMACAATGTCACCATGAGTTAATGGTAAATTATAAACACGACCTACACTAAGCAATTCTTGTCAGCCAACGTATCTATATTTTTATATTACAGCACTTTGTTTTCAATTTGCCGCAAAGCCTTTAAAGCTGTGAGAAATGAGTACGTCACCCAGTTATGTRGAATCTTACCGATATCTAAAATCTCGCAGTTTTCACCAACATGTCCTTTACACTCGCAGCGAAGGTCGATTCSATCCGCTACACACTTACCACCATTAAGACATGGATTTGCTTCGCAGGGATTCTGTGCACAAAACCGAGGTTATTAGAATTTTTGCAATTTCAAAAGCTGACCATAAAATGGACAATGATATGACGTATCGCAGAGCTGGTTCTATGCCGCTTTGATGAGTTACGTCGATACTATGATCAAGAATATAAAAAGCTGCGTACTGATTTCGAGCCGAACCACCATCAACGAACTGACAACTAGAGAAGTTGGGAAGACTACAAATTGTGTTCACAAGCAAGAAATTGAAACAACAGAAACAAGAAAAGAAAACCACCCATTGTGAGTTAACACAATGTTACTGATTTATTATTAAAAATGATCTGCAGAAGTTGATTTCACATGGCTTCGACCATAGAGACGATATAAACACAAAGTTTCAACTGCACGCCAAGGAATGAAAAATAGTAATAAAAATTTAAAGGAAAATGTGCTTTTTTCTTGAGAGTGTTTTTGCATAACATCTCAAAGGTCCGATCCTCAACAAAGCTTTTAAATTATAAAAGACTTTTTATCTGTTATATACGTAGAGAGTTTAATTAGTTTACAACCGTGATTGATATATGCTGCAGCTAACTCTGTCATTTGCCTTTGAAATCACGTCGCAATTAATAAAATTT